ATTATTTTTATATATACATATTAGTACTATTTGTATTTCTTTCTTTTGGGTTTTAATTTTAATATAATTTTTTAATTCTTTTCATGCAGTTTATTAAATAAAGTCGTTCGTACTTTATGAAGATCAAAAAAATTGTTTGCGGTCAATCCAAACAATGTGTTCTTTGCAACGCATATTTTGACCCTAATAATTTCGATCCATGTATGTGCGTCTCATGTAGGGAATCAATCAAAGTCGCTCCACGCTCTGGATCTTGCATTGTATGTTGGATGACTGAAATGGAAGATTTATGATTTTATGTTATTTTTTATGATTTTATTTCAATAAATTTGGATCATATTTATTTGTTTATTTCGATTATTTTGAAAGCCAATACTTTCACTTTAAAGGAAGCCGTGGATTTTCTTTCATTTTGGTCTCATATTGTTTTTTAATTACAATGTCTTCCTTATTCTACCATTACTTTCCTTTAATTTATACATATATATATATATATATATATATATATATATATATATATATATATATATATATATATTATTTTCTCTACTTTATTAGTTTTCCTTATTTAAGCAAAAGATTTATCATTCCACCAAATTATTATGTTACCAAATCCGCATTAATAATAACTTGATTAGTCATGTTATATTTCATTTCAAAATTTTAATTTACGATTCACAAAATCTTTGCAATGTATATTCAATGTTGATTTTTTTTTTCCATGTTTAAATAATGTTTACTTTTTAATGATGCAAACACAAGTATAAAATCCTCATACCACACCTCATTTGTCACCACTATCGAACTTTACAGCAACAAGAGGGTTTAAGAGTGTTTAATCGTTTCGATTTTCCTCTTTTTTTTTCGATTTTTTTTATTCCAGTAAACTAAATCATTTTTTTCTCTCATTTGTTTGTATTCACACAGTTTTTTTTTTCTTTTTCTTTTGATTCTATCGAATTTGGAATTTTTATTTTATTATTTGCATGTATTGGATTTTGCAACTTGGAATTTGTATAGGGAGTTTACATATATTTATTTGCTTACATTTCTTTAAATCCCGTGTACAAATTGCACGTTGCAAATTCCAATACATGTAAAAATTGTAAATTCATTTTTTTATTTTATGGTTTTGCTTTTATTTTTAAAACAATTCCAGGTTTATGTTATTTATTTTATATAGATTTTATTTCAATAATTTCAGATTTTATTTTATGAATTTGCTTTCATTTCTACATTGTTTTCTAAATAGAATTCGATTACCATTCATTACTATTTGATTTTATTTTTCTAATAACCTTATTGAATTTTGTATAAAAGTTTTTTATGAGGTTGAATCACTTTGTATATATTTAATTTTTACATTTAAAAAAAATGTTTTAAATGAGAGTTTAAACCTTTTTTTTTTGTTTTTTTTTTCATTTTTTTCCATAACCAATACCATAGATGATTACTTATTAGTCACTTATTATAAATGTAAAGTTGACCACGAATTTTATGTTAGGTTTTACATATTTGTATTTAATTTCATTCCATATTTATATTTGTATAAAATTCAAATGGGGCAATTTGCTATAGGTCCTCCTATAAAAGATTATATGTGTTAAAATTCATTAAATAAACTCTAATTTCCAGCAGATTTTATTATTTGTAATTTGTCAAAAATACCCCTATCAATATATGGTAAAATAAATCCTCAAAATCAAATCCCATATTTTTCTCCCTATTATACAGCAAATCCGAAAATTAGGATTGCAAAACTCTCGATATCGATTTCTTCCCTGTTTTTTCAAAACAAAAATCTCCACAAATTTTGAAGCCTTCGGTTTGGGTGATTGAGCGTTTGCAATTTACAAGGTCGTTTGCAGTTTGCCTTCATTTCCTTTTCCTTCGTTCGATTTGTTGTTCCCAATTTGCCTTCGTGTCGTTTGCTGTTTAGAAATTGTTTGTTGTTCGGTAACAACTCAGGTTGTAAAAAATGCACCACCGCTACGAACGCCGCACCACTGCCGGAGCCGCCGTGTCCGCTTATGTCTCTGTAAAATGCAAATAGCAAACTAATAATTAAAACTTGAGTTATTGAATTTAAAACAACAAACTACCTATGAATTCGCCAAATACAAACAACAAATCAAACAGGTAAAAAAACCAGCATCATCTAATTACAAACAATAAAATGAAAATATGATATGCAATATCTAAATGCAAATAATAAAAATAAAAATACAAAACAAAAGTATCATACATATCAAAAAAATGCAAAAAACAACAATAAAATTATAAAAAATATTCTATCAATGCAAAATTGCAATTTGCAGTTTGCAAAAAAATCTACTGTTATCGATTGCAATTTGCAGTTTGCAACAACAATTTAATTTTGCTGTTTCATTATTTTGTTTTTTGTTATTTATTGAACCAAAATCAATTAGAAATACAAACAAACATTATAAACTCACTACAGATAAATACAAAACGAGAAAAAAAAAAACTCACCTTGTGCAAGTAAGGAGTGATTTATGTTTGTTGTCCGCTTTGAACTCTTTCACCGAAAAATCATCTAATAATGTAAAGCTTCAATTTTTTTTTCCTTCCTACAACATAATCCAAAAGAATTCGAATTCCAAAGGGGGAAAAAAAATCGAACAGATGTAATCGAGAAAGGGTATAGAGAAAGAAAGAAGTTGATCGAAAAAAAAATCGAAAAGTGTTGATCGAAAAGAAAAAAAACATCAGAAGAAAAAAGCCAGAGACACGAGATGGAGAGGAACAGAAATATGAGAGATTATATAGGAAGAAAGATACGTAAGATTGGAGAGAGAGGAAGTGTATGAGATTTATTTTCTTATTAATTGAGGGTGTTTATGTCCATATATTAATTGTTTTATTTTATTTATATTATTTTTTTGTGATAAAGGACCTATATCTATATTCATCTAGCAATTAAGATCTCTACCTATATAAGTCCAGAATAAGGGGTGTCTAGCCAAATTCCCCAATTCAAATACCACATATCTATATTGTCCTTATTTACAATTACTTTAAATTTTCAGTTCATAATTCATACCACACCAGCTTAAATATGTCATCAGTATTGAAACGATATTCTTAAGTATTTTTTATTACAAAGTCACGCATTTTATTTGTTTTATTTTTTAATACAAAGTCACGCCTTTTATTTGGATCATTTTTTTATTTTTTGCAATTCTTTCAAAACAAAATTCGATTTACCATTACTTTTTATGTGATTTCATTTTTATTTTTTAATGAATCCATTCAATTTTAATAAATATTAAATAATGTGTTTGAATTAATTTTTATATATTTTCTTTCCATTTTCTTAAATGAAAAATGATTTACATGAAATAACCCATACAATGACTTACATGAAATGAAATGATTTATATGATTTTCATGAAAATGATTTGTTATTTCTGGGTTTTTATTTTTGAATATTTATATAATTTATTGGGATTTTGAGTATGGTCAATCGTTTATTAATTATTTTCAGTTACCCAATTAGTTGATGATTTTTTTTGTTAGAATGTGTTATATATATCTATTATTTAGAATATGCATTAAAAAATGCCATTCTCGCAATTTTTTTTTTATTTTTTTTTTATTTTACTCAATATCGTTTTATTTTATATTCTTACAAGAAATCCATTTTTTAATTAACGCAGTTGACAATTTCAAGATTCCATCCATAAAAACCTTATTTTTAATTATCATTTCCATATATTTTAATGCCTAATATATTACCCATTTTTTTTTATTATAAAGAATACTAGTAACTCACCCGTGCGATGCACGGGGATCAATTAAAAACATTAAAATGAGTTAATGTATAAAACAAACGAAGAAAAATTATGTCGAGAATGCTAAGAATACAACCGAACAAAAAAATAAAAATTCGTATCTTAATCAATCAATAAAAAATCTGAATATATAATAAACTGACAACGTTCTAAAAACCATCCACGTTGAAATGTAGCAAGTAACTCCCATACTGAAATAAAAGCATCGCACCAGTCTTGCACATGAATCTGATTGTTGTTAAAGGAGACAATGAATATATACGATAAGAGGACAAATAACTTGTTATTTTTCCACATTTTCAATATATAAGTTAAAGACATTACGTAGATAAAGAATACTTATATATATATATATATATATATATATATATATATATATATATATATATATATATATATATATATATATGTGTGTGTGTGTGTGTGTGTGTGTGTGTGTGTGAGCGTATTGAAAAAAATAACGTTAAATATAAATAAAACTAATATATGTGTTTGCCAATGTGTAACTTTATATTCTTTCAAATACTTCTTTGTACACGACGTTGCTAGTAACACTGGTCAACTCACCAAGTTCACCCTTGATTAAAATATTTATTCCAGATCTACTCTTCACCCGAGACAACGCTACGTACAATTGACCGTGACTAAAAACAGGCCTTGGAAGGTACAATCCAACGTGTGAGAGAGTTTGCCATTGACTTTTGTTGATTGTCAGCAAATGATATAATCACCGGATATTGACGTCTTTGAAATTTTACTGGCAATGTAGAATTCGAAGGTATCAAAGTCATCCGAGGAATAAATACCATGTCGCCAACATTCTTACCGGATAATACCTTGCAACTAATTATATGCATGCCCAATCTTTCAACTTGGAGACGAGTTCCATTGCACAAACCTCTTGCTTGATCGATATTCCTAATGAGCATGACAGGAACTCCTTTCTTTAATTTTAGCTCATGCGGCGGCAGACCGGAGCACGATATTGTATTGAGAAATTCGGTGGAATAAATTTATGCATTAATCTCGGAACTTGCTTCGTCTACGCACATCTGTTAGAGCTCAGGTAAACCTTTTCCTCATCTTCAATAAGTGATGACAGATAATCGTTCACATATATAACACTCTCATTTGTAGGCCCCAGAATGGCCCTCCCCTGAAACAAATCAGGATTGGCAATGTTATTCACAAATCCGGATACACAAACTGCATCGGCTCTGAAAAGGCATCCTCCGAATCTCGAATCAGCATGTCCTCAGGAATTTCAATCAAGGCCTCACAATCATTGTAGTCTCCAGCTTCTCCGTTTTCAATTCTGAGAATCCATTCGGCAAATTCCCTTATTCCATCTTCATTAGATGAAGATGCATTCGACTAAAACCTCATGTTTTTATGCAACCTCATGACACGACATTCTCTCCACAATGGTGATGATTGATCGTAGCATGTACGATGTCTTGCCTCGATGCTTTAAGTACAATAGGTAATATCTGTCTAAAGTCACCACCAAGTACGATAACCTTACCACCAAATGGTTTTTCAGAATTCAAAATCAGTCGCATGGTTCTGTCTAATGATTCAAAACAAAACCTATGCATCATCGGGGCCTCATCCCATATAATAAGCTTTGCTTCAATCAACAGCTCTGCTTGAGGACTTTGTTGTTTGATGCTGCAAGTGGAGCTCTCATGCATAATTATCGGGAGTCCAAATCTAGAATGTGTTGTTCTACCACCCGGAAGGAGCAATGAAGCAATACCTCTCGAGGCAACATTAATGACAATGCCCTTCTCAGAACGAACAGCGACGGAAAGTGTGTTCCAAATAAATGTCCTCACGGTGCCCCAATGGCCGTAGAGGAAAAACATACCTCCACTGTTCTTCGAAAGTGCATTCGTGATCGTGTCGTAAACTTTTTTCTGGTCAGGTTTTATAGACGATAAGAACTTTTGAAGTTCGGCACGCATTTTAGAGACGTCGTAATCCAATTCATGAAGTATTAACCTATTAGCTATGTCGTCTAGCGTTGTATGTATCGGTGCAGGCATAGGTGCATGATTACGTAAACTCTTACCATTGCTCTGCAGTATTTTCTGAATCTCAATGAGGGCGTAATTCTTCAAGCTATCCTCTGATAAGGTTAACGCTGCACAAATTATAAAAATTGCTATGTGATACCAAAATAATTAAGCATACAAATAATAATTATATCGGTACGACAATTATCGTATATGGAGTATGGTTTTTAAATTGGGTAAATTACACCCACACCCCTGAGGTATGCTTAAATAACTTTAAGGTACCTGTGGTATCGATAATTACACTCACCCCCCTGAAACGTAGTTAGAAACTCTAACGGGATAATGCATTGGATACATTATTCTGATAGGGTTCTAATGGACTATTACTTTTAGCTAGTGGTGGAGATAACATAGAGTTATGGGGAGTTATGGGGTGACATGGTTCCCCCAATATTTCTTAAATCACCCATAACTCTTTGTTGTCTCCACCACTTCCGGAAACCAATAGTCCGTTAGAACTCTATCGTAATAACGTATCCAATGCATTATCCCATTAGTGTTTATAACTACGTTTCAAGGGGGTGAGTGTAATTATCGATACCAAATGGACCTTAAAGTTATTTAAGCATACCTCAGGGGTGTGGGTGTAATTTACCCTTTTAAATTAGATATATACCTAGATTATTATGACGTTTTTGGTGTCTGTAATTCATGTCATCAGATAATTCCGACCAACATTTATCCTATACATACTCAGGCCTGCTCAAATTATTTGCCAATAACAGAATAGCGAACAGTAATCTTGTGCAGTATGCGCTCGCCTATCCGCTTACTTCCTTTATGCCGTCAATGTACTCTTTGTCATCCTGCAACAAACCCAATACGTAGCATGCGTCCCTAAAGGTATCGTAGACCTTCATATTCACGCTTCTGAGTTCTTCATAGCTTGTGCAACCAACTTGAATATTAAGCAACAACCTCAGATAGTAGTCTTCTCCCTTCCCTGGGGGAACATTATTAAGTCTTCCGATTGAAAATCATTTTTTTTTCGTGGCTCCCATGACATAGACTCATTTGAGTAAACGAAGTGCTGTGGGAAATCTGCATACTTGATTGTTCTGGCTTCCGGAAACCGCTTGTTTGTCTCAAACCAAGCTAAGAACATACTTTATTTGGCAGAAGGTCTATTGACTACGTTATGCAAATGTTGATTTTCGTGATACACAACCATTTGACAATCAGGTAGCTGGAAGCTCAAACGAATCAGGGGGGTCTCTGTAATGAATATCAAACCCAAACAACCTCCAACTGGCCTCGCATGCAGATAAGTACCTGCAAAAATATTTTAAAAATATATAAGAAAATCAAATATATACACGCTGAATTAAACATATTGTGGAAATAAAAGCGTATATACACGAATAAACATTAAGATAAGTAGCAGCACAAGTCGGAAATATACCTACAGTCGTAGTACATCTTTATCTCATCGCGTATTTGTTCACTGTCATTGGTATTACGTGACCGATAAAATGCAGCTGTAACTCGATCATTACCTTGTTGACATATTTGAAAAGATATTTTATCTATTTGTTCTGGTTACAGAGCTCGATGTTGATGTGAGCTCTGTATTTCAACAGTAGAGCACGGTTGTAAGGAACGGCATACCCATTGTCCAATATTATTTTCTTCTTCGTTACTGTCTGGCCGTCTTCCCTTCTTCTATACGAATGGTATCCTTCATCGTCAGCCTCAGTACGTTGCACAAATCTCTTTGGAAAGCGCTTGGTGCAAATACCATCCTTCATGCAGGGAGAATTCATGTTCGCATGTACGCATGGTCCATGGATCATGTACTTTTTTACCAACTTATACATTTTCCTGTCGCAAGTCTTATCGGATATTTCGGCACATATTATTCGATCAATATCTTCCGAAAATTTTGGCTTTTCGTCGTTATGCAACCAAAGAAGAATGTGCGCATGCGGCAAACCACGTTTTTGGAACTCAATGGTGCAGACATCTGCAAATTGAAATGAAATAATATATTAGAAATAATATAGTTTGATATGAACAATTATATATTTTATAAAAATAAAGTAATTTTATACAGTCATGTCATATGAAGTTTTAAATATTTATTTGAGAATGTGGTACTTACATGATCTAATTCGTCCGAAAATATACCCTTTTTTGAAATCTGATATCAGACTGTCCAGTTTCATCTTGAGCACGCGACAAAGAATATCAGATCGATCTTCGGGATGCAGATTCGTATCACTCAACACCCTTTGTATTTCTGGCCACTTGGGATTGCATGTTATTGTTATAAAAAATGATGGAAATCCAATCCAATTGCATATTTGAAGGGCGTCCATGAAGTTGTTAAACATATATCTGGGATCGTTTGTAAAGGTTGATGGAAGAACTATGCGCATTCCTGCAGACGTGCCTTCACCGTCACCCTTGACAATCATTTCCTGAAGTCCCTTATACATATCAACCCTAAGCTTGTCCTGATTAAATTAAATGAAATTCAGTCGTTGAGATTCTATCATTGAAAAGCCATCAACTTGAAACTACTGAAATAGTTTTTTCGAGTTCAACAATACTTGACTCTCTCCATTCCTTTTTGCATCCTGTATGCAAACCATTCTCTCATGCTCACGCATCTTCTTTTCCAGCTACTATTTGATGAGGACTCTCTCAAAGGAATATCATCTCTATACCCATCTTCACCGTAAGGAAAAATCAAGGGGTACTGTAACGGTAGATAAAGAGGGTGTAGTTCACTAATGCGCTGAAGCCTCATAGAATGCGTTTCGACAACAATGTCCCTTACACTCTCCTGGTTATCGAAGTCGCCAACAATGAGCGCTGCAATTTCACTCGCATTTGGTAGATTACATGTCCGACCACTAGTACTTCGGCTCTTAACCAGTCTTAGTTTTACATCTCTATTTTCATCTGTAGTAATACGATCGCGTGCAACTCTGTATCACCGAGCAAGTACGTTCGACTCATCAATCATATCTTTTATCGAAGACACTATTGACGGATCTAAATTATTAGAATTGTTTCCAGATCTAAAATATAACAGTATTAGAATTGTTTCCAGATCTGAAATATAACAGAGTAATTATTAGTGGCCATTATAACAAATGATGATGCTGAAATACATATTAAAAAGTATGCATTTTTTACCTTACAGCAGCAATTCGATTTTGAACTTCATTCTCTGTGTCGAATATATAAAGTTGTGCAAACTTCGGCGTTGTACCCTCCTCGGGTAATAAACTACCCAACAAATGATAATTTTGACCGTGTAGAACAAAAGTGTACGGACCGGGACTGTTGTTGACATATGTCTGTATTTTGGCCCCCCAGAGAGGTGAAATAGAACATCATATTATACGATCTTATATTATCTTGGAAGGTCCTACTGCGTCTATCCCTACCGAATAAGAGACTCGATAGTATTGTTGGATGATCCTTCAATTTGGGCAACTGGACTTTTCCGTTCATGCAACATAGTGAAAATTTTGGCAATTCTGTTTCACAGTGTCTGGCAAGTCTCTCGCCGTACCACATCATCGCACCACATGATTGACAAATGCAGCTTTGATCACCAAGGTCGTTGTAATCTATGAATATTTATCATGTATAAAAATAATGACCAGAATTTGTGAACGAAACGACTAATGTATAAACATTATTTGAATTAAAAAAAATTGCATGATATGTCTGACGACTACCATGATCAAAATAACAATATCGGCGGAGAGGCAGTTGCAGCTGACAACCTGTACGGTTTAGGTAATGGTGAACACATACACAACGAAATTATATTCGAGAAGAAGATAACATGTGACAAACGCCGAAAAGTGGTACATTGATGACATGCCTGTTATTGTTTATTATGCATTCACGCAGAAAAAAATAGATTAATCCGAA